TGTCATGAATAAGTGATAATTGTGTTTTAATTATGTTTGATTTTTTGGTTGCATGTGACCTTTAAATTTTTGTTTGTCTTTTGTAATAAATTATTATCAATGTTTATCTTGTCTGTAATTTCCCAATAGGCTTTATGCCCGATTCACGAACTGGTCACTGAGTTTTGAGTAGAGAACAGATCAACCCGAACGCACACCTATAAAATAAAAGTACACAGCGCAAAGTCCAAACAAGGTTGATCCTACATCATGTTCCTACATACTACTTAACTTAACTCAGCTGTCACTGGGCGATGGTAGTCTACTGAGAACCACGCCTATTACACAACAATACCGTCAAAAAAATGATACATTGCTTATTCAAAAGAGTGAGTAAGCCCACACATTTCCAATGGAATAACATTCCAAATGCAATACAAAATATACTCACGCATTTCTGCCACAAACACCACTGAAATACCCGTCCGAAGCTCACGACAGGACAGTCTCTCGGAATCTGCCTTTCACCCACAGTCACGCTTTAGTAACTCGCGCACGCAGACATCGCGCTCCTTCACACAACCGGGTGCGTTTAAGCGACCCGTACTCACGACGAAAACGCACAACAGAATAGATCTTGACAAACAACGAATAATATCATACGAATCTGTTTTGTTCGAAGCTCCCGAAGGAACATTTGCGTATCCAAAGTTAACAAAAGAATAAATCTCGTAATAACGACTAATAATCTCGTAGTTTTGTGCTTTTATCATAATTAATATGGATCAAAACTAGTTTTGACAATTGTTTTCATGTCCATCACAAAATGTCACCAATCTTCTTCCATTTCACAGCAGCAGCCTCACTTGTCATGTTACCAGCAACTGCATATACTATTCTCGTCCAGGTGTTCAAGGACGACTACCAAGTCGTGAGGAGCATGCCCTGTTTCAATCACACATCAGGTCCATGTCCAAAGGTGACCAAAGAGTCTCGTCCATTTACTCTTCGGTAAAACTTTCACTCACTGTTCGAGCTGAACTGCGAGTTCTATTGTACTTTATTGGGAGTCGTTTAAAGGACCATTATCCCGATGTGGGGTGATCTGACTGATCTGCAGTGGGCTGTTTCGGAACATGGTGACATGAAAAGAACCGGCCACCGCTGTGCCCTGTTATGTAAACGTAACGGTTTGTGTTATGTTTATGTAACTACCTGTGTTATATTTCTGAAGCACGACGTAAAACCCAATTTCACCTCACCTCACCTGTGTTATATTTATGCAACTTTCTCTGTTATGTTTATGTATCTCTCTCTGTTATATTATGCAATTATCTCAGTTATTCTTATGTAACTATCTCTAAAATGCTTATGCAGCTATCTCTGTTCAGAATAGGTGTTTTGATGGGTATCTCTGTGTTGTCAAAAGTACCAACAGTATTAGGAAAACTTCAAAATCGCTTCGTCCTTTCAAGGCCATTTTCATATGTTCACCTCTTATCTCCTTGACTGCCTCACAGAAGCTTATAAATATTATTTCTGTCTTCTCTGTAGGCTAAACAGCCCAACACCTCGAACACACTCCTGGATTGCCATGAACCACAAAGACGCTAACGTTTTCTTTGGTAGTGTTACAGTCTGCAAGTCAACAATATGCCCCACTGACATCTGAAACAATATTAATGGAATATGACATTCTGATCAGGTTGCATAAAATTATATGAAACAATTCATTTCACTCATTATGAGCAAACCTTGCATATGAGACGCCAACTCACGTCTTTATGAGAAGTAGGTTTTCATTGGAGTGATAATACACCGAAAACTATGTGTTGATAGACTTGTTACTGAAGCACCGTCTGTGTGACGCAACGCACATCGTTACAGCGCTAGTCACTGGGTCCAAAAAAATGATACTACTACGTAAATAGCTTGAGGTCTTGGAATACCTCATATGAATTATATTATCCAAAAAAGAAACCCATAAGCATTTTGTATTTTTAAAAATCTATTAACTACCTATTGTGTTCAAACAAGTGTCACAATATGTAACGGAAGTGTTAATAACAGTTTACCCAATTGTACAAATAAACATCGACTTTACCTGAACATTTTGATTTTGATGAGATTTCTTACAAGGATTAAAAACGCATCGCCACAACGCAACAGACATCACCTTCCAGTTGAAATTGTGCAGCAACGAGCATGCACTGTCTGGCTATAAATATCCAGATTACTTACGGAAATCGGCATTCGCTTTGAAGGAGTTTCAAGGTCAAATCACTACACCACGTCTTGACGCTGCGACACGGAACATCGGCATTGAAAGAATGCACGCTGGACATTACCAATCTTCTGTTGTCAGGCGTCTGGATGTTAGTCTCAGCACGATATCACTGCTTGCAGCTCGTTACAATCAAACAGGTTTAACAAATTACCGTCCCCTGTACAGGCAGACCTCGTGTAACCACTGCTGCCCAAGATCGGTACACCCGGGTACAACATTTGCGTGATGATACTGCCACGGGAGAGAGCATAGCAGCCAGGGTGCCTTGAGGAGGATATCCTGCCAAACTGTACGGAACAGGCTGAGAGAGATTGGACTGAGAGCCAGGAGATCCGACGTCGGGACCGTGGTGCAACGTTGTCACCATCGCGCTCAGCGTCTCCGTTATCTAAAATTATCCACTTGGTTGTATAGAAATTTCCTTTTTCTAAACTGATTTAAAACTTCATGCACTAAAGTGGACGAGTTATGCATGTTTTTTTGATCGTATATTTAGTTGCAGCCATTCTGAAAAATGATCTGATGGCAACATTTTCGTGATTTTGAACCTCATGAGCAACGAAAGACTTGATATTAACGGTTGACACATTCTCGTCAAAAGAGTGCAATAAACGTCCTTAACTCATTTACAATGAGGAATATCTTCTGCAGCTTCGATTGTCGACACTGTGGCTAGTACCGGGGAATTTGTTTGTACGGAGCGAATCCATTTTTGAATGTGGAACCGCTACCGGTTCTATTATTTGTCTGGATCCCTCGAGGATATGGATATATCTGAGCACATCTACCATCGGACAGGAAGTTTATCGCAACTCATGGCCACGAATAAACGAGCTAACCCAAATCACAAATCATTAACACTTTTATTACTATACGTTATACACAGCATATAATTACACTTTGAAAACAAATTGTGTCTTTTTTGTAATATGTTTAGACATGTAACAAATATTAATGAACTTGTACACGTTAAAAATGCAACAATGTGGGGTCCATTGTGTGAGTTCAATCCCGCTTGACGTTTCTGGAAAGGGACACGATCATGACAACACGTCCTCCCTCATTACAAGTGTTCTGGTCGAGGCAGTAACTTTGGTACCATGTCAAACAATCAACCATACACAGGCCCGTCAGTCGTGATCAGCAAACAGGAAGTAATGCGCGTCCCCCTCGACCTGGACAACTTCAAGACTGACATGCTTCACTGACTCACCTTTGAGACCAGTTCAGAACGCAATAGCAGCAGCATACACCGTCTTGTAGCCATGAGAAACACAATCCCTCTGCAGTAGTCGTTCGAGACAAGCTGCAATTGGCTGCTCAGCGTTGACCGTTGTTGCACCCCGGACGGCGTCAGACAGGACGTCAATTTGCTCAAAAGTCACGACAACCACAGCTTTCCGTCAGCAGAATAGTGTTTTCCAACGAGTCATGTTTTTACAGCAGATCATTTGTGGATGGAAAAGAACTTGTGTACCGTCGTCCCCCTGAACGTTACGTCAGTGCATACAGTGAGATCGATTTGGTTCTGACAGTGTCATGAGTTTGGAGTAAAGCAGCAACAGTACAACAAGCTGGGATCGGTGTGTTGAATTGGGCTGGTTATTACCCACGTGGTCAACGTATGGGTAGTTACATATTAATCTCGTACGTCACACGAGTGTCGTATCGCGTTGACCTGGGGCTCTTTTCACGAAGCAACCTTTACTAAGGTGATCCTTAACTCCCATTCTTTAACATTGCTCTAAGGTTACCTTAGTGACTTACGATAACCCTAGTGCTTTGTGAAAGGAGGCCCTGTCCCGTAACGACTCGACCTGACATTCTAACGGTGTGATTGGATAACCGATGACCTCTCAATTAGGTCACGTTGTGGCGGAACTACTTTCTCATTCATAACAAACACGTTCATTCATTCTATAACATATAATACACGTTATAATAGTTCAGCGCAAAAGTGTACTTTATTACACTATACATGGGAGTAGAGCAAACTGTATTTCTTTTCTAAGAAACCAAATTTAATACTTAACGACGATAAATTTAAGGTAGAAAACAAGCAGAAAAGCGACGATGCTCAAGGCTAACTGACGCGCTGTTCTAATGACGTACCTGTTCCCCTACGTTAAGACGCACGTTTCCAGAAAAAAAAGATAAGATAAACAGTTTGATGACTATATATTACTTCAATTATATCTGTTATTAACGTACACCATATGGGAAATATGAACGTCGCATTTCTACCACCAACGTAAGTTCAGATCAGTACATCCAGATGAAGCTGACAAGTCAGTCGACATTCCACGGTTGCATTGTGGGAATGTAAACATTGCGAACGTTGCTGTCGATGTTTAATTGTTAGTCGAATTGAGACAATACATCCGTCGAAAACAGGCGTAGCAAGCCATTTTTTTATTCGTGTGAGCCCGATAGGTCGCAAAGCTTTATATTAGATAGTATTGAGGGCTTGCCCAACCTTTTTAGCAACAATCATGTGTAAGTCCGTCCTTTTTTTACAATGGTAGATTCGCCCCTGTGAAAAAACATGAACGTAATGTTTCCACCAGTGACGTTAGCTAAGCGAAGCAACTGCAAACCACGAAACAGGGTGGTACGGAGTAGTTTACTAAACGAGGCGATGACAACTGGCATGCATCGTGACGTCGGTTACCTTCGATAACGATCTGGCAGACGAGAATGGCTTAGTGACGTCAAAACAGTGTGACGTCATGCACAAAAATGTCCTACAGAACCAAATTCTTCCGCAGCCTCATTATGAAACCGGTGTCGGTTTGAAATCATATAATTAACATAAATACGCTATTTTGTCAATTTTATGCAGGGGAATACGTGGGTAATAAATAAATGACCGAGCGAAAGTGAGGTCAGAAACCATACAAAGATCACGAGTTTCGTATAATTCGTATGTAATGAGACCGAGTGTAGTAGTCTCTCTATATATATTTATTGACCTTACTATCATTTGTGACATGAATTGGGGAAGAAGGGTATACAGATATCGGCCAACGTCGAAAAATTGACCTTGGCCTTGCGACAAGAGCGGAAGAACATTTATAGGACGTGTATCACATGTCATGCTTCTGTCAGTGCTGATAGAGGCCACACAAGATATTGGCTGAGGTCACAGGGGTGCAGTTATACGTCATACTACTGTGTCACTCATAACGCGTCTCCTTCAGTCTGTTGCCGTGCAAGTAGATTTACATTAACGACCTTCCTCTCCTCACACTTTGTGACATTCCAGAATGTAACTGATCAGCTTACCAGGCCATTTAATATTATGACCCATTTGTATGAACACATTGCTGAATGGTATAGTTCAAAATAGAACAGACCCGTGACGATCCAGGTTAGATTTGGTCTTCAGTAACCCATGCTTGTCGTAAGGGGCGACTAACGGGATCGGTTGGTCAGACTCGCTGACTTGCTTCACTGTCATCGTATCCCAATTGCGTAGATCGATGCTCATGCTGATGATCATTTGAATTGTGTGGACCAGACTCGATTATGTACATACTGCCGCCATATAACTGGAATATTGCTGAGCTGGGAGTTAGAAAACCAACCAACTCCTCTGTGATAAGACGGGGTAAGCAATTGTGTTTTTCTTTGGCCTTACCTTTATGGCTCCTGGCAGCTTCTCTCTCGCCAGGCTGATTTCATGAGAGAAATAATCACTTATTTCACACTTCTTTGCTCGACCAGCGACTTAAATTCTCTTGTCCTAGTAACCATTAAAAACATATTATAATCGTAGGTTTCCCCAGCATGTGTGCACCTCATACTTTTCACAGCATCTGCAGCGATGGACATGTCACAAGATGTTAAGTCTTCCACGAGGTTGACACCATCTTTATTTACGCCCCCTTCCTTTGGCTTCCGTGCCATGGAAAATAAGTGTTTTCTTCTATTTGAGGTGACCTAAGACCTATATTTTCCCGTTCTTGTATTTGTTCCGCACTGTCGGCCTGTCTTGTGTGTTGACTTATTTGCCATCTTTAGTGTTGCAATGTTGCATTGATGCACCTTAACTTCAATATTGTGAAATTTTCTTGTTGTTCAGCTCAGCTTGGATTTATTCATACATTCGTCACCTTTACTCAGTCTTCTCACAACTGACCTGACAATATAATGTGTTTCATTAGCTGTAATATTTAACTGCGACAATGTGTCATTCACATTGAGGAACGCTTCTGCCACCGTAGTAAGGTCAGACTGCATTGCAATAAGTGCCCAGTGCAGTTCGCTATCTCGTCCGGGATCTGGAAAGGGTGTTTGGGTGTCAGCCCTTCTCATTTGTGCTTCTTCACTTATTCTGCTTTCGCACCTGCTTTGCGAGACATTGAGCCCAATGTAACAAATATGTACAAAACCGTGCAACACATGTACTCCCACGCTGTACAACACTCAATTAAGACAGAAATAGCTTCTTTGAGGCATCAATTCTGTTAGTGCATAATTTTGTTACATTCTGTGACAAAGAGTGAGTGAGTGAGTTAATATTTAACGTCACATCGGCAATATTTCAGCCATATCGTGACGAGAAAATTTGATATTGAAATGAAATATATGTATATTACAAAACCTGCCGACGAAGGACAGTAAAACAACTAGAGTATCACATATACAGATAAAACTAGTAATAGAGTCTAAAACATTTTAGACAACACAATATAAAATTGGGCTATAGATCGCCAACAACTGAAGGTAGATCACCATACTAGAAACCATGGGGACTTACATTACTTTCGCTACCTGCATGGATCCTAGTTGGATTTACACCATCCCCTCAGCAGTTGGCGATTGTAGGACAAGTTTAGCCAAAATTTAAATGAACAAATATACTACGATTAAAAATCGGGTAAGCAAAAAGTTAACTTTGAAAGTTTTGGGACTTACGTACCCTCTCAGGAGGACAATAATTTTACACTACTTCAACCCCCTTTGAGGATACAGCCACTAACAATCTCAGTTACTAATTCAAACTACCAATAATAAAATATATAACTATTTACAAATCACTTAACAAATCTAATTCTTTTAAAAGGCAATAACTAAATCAGAACGAACAGTAGTAAAAGATCCTTCAATGTTTTGACATTAAAATACTTATCCCTTGTGATGGAATATTCAACACAGTCAAGCAGGACATGCTTGACTGTGATTCTTTCATCACAAGGGATGCAAAACGGAGGATCTTCGCCTTTAAGCAAATATTCATGGGTATACCTTGTATGGCCAATGCGACATCGCCGCATAATGACCTCTTCAAATCTGGACTGACAAACCAAGTAAGTGTAACCAATATAGGGTTTTATTGCATGTAATTTATTGATACCTACTTGGGTGTCCCTTCTTTGCATCAGATCACGGATGTAAGATCTAATGCAAGCTTTGTAATCAGAGTATGGGATCAGAAGTGGTGTCACAGATTTGTTGAGTGCTGCCTTAGCAGCAATATCAGCCATCGTGTTTCCAGAAATACCAACGTGGCTGGGTAACCAACAAAAGACGATGTCGCATTGGCCAGTAGCAAGCTCATTATACAATTCAATAATTTCTAATAAAAGTGGATGTTTACAAGAAAGATTTTTAATAGCCTGAAGACACGAAAGAGAATCTGAAAAAATGATATATTGTTTATATTTACGGTGTTTATTAATATATTTAAGAGCTGTTAGTATTGCGTTTGCTTCTGCTGTGAAAATTGAACTGTCATTAGGTAGTCTGGAAGATATTGTTTTGGACCCAATGACAGTGGCACAAGCAACCGCGCCACCATCCTTGGATCCATCTGTATATAAGGATTTATAGGTATTATATTTATTTCTTAATTGACTAAATTCTTGTTTATACTGTAAATCATTAGTTTCGGACTTTTTAAATGTGGTTAATGTTAAGTCAACTTCTGGCCTCACCAATTGCCAAGGAGGAGAAGAAAGAAGACGAGAAGGAGATATATTATCCAGCTCAATGCCAGCAGCAGTAAGGAATGGTTTAATTCTGTGCCCAAGAGGCGGAACAAGAGAAGGCTTTTTGTTGTACAACTGCTCATAAGAAGGATTGAAAACACAGTTAAATGCAGGATTAGACTCGTTAGAATAGAGTTTTGTTATATACTGCAAAGATAGTTTGATACGACGTTGGGTAAGTGATGGCTCATCAGCCTCAACATAGAGACTGTCAATTGGAGAGGTTCTAAAAGACCCAAGACAAAGTCTTAGGCCTTGGTGGTGGACAGAATCAAGTAGTTTTAGGTTGCTGTTGCAGGCTCCACCATATACGATGGAACCATAATCAAGTTTCGAGCGGACCAATGAACGATATAGGTGGAGGAGGGTAGTTTGATCCCCTCCCCCACTTTGAGTTGGAAACAACTTTCAACAAATCAAGGGCCTTCAGGCATTTAGCTTTAAGTGATTTAATATGCGGCAAAAAGGTTAAATGAGAGTCGAAAATTAGACCCAAGAACTTGGCCTCCTTCACAACTTTGATAGGAGTGCCATTTAAAGATAGTTCTGGGTCCTTATGAGGCTTATATTTTCTACAAAAGTGTAGACAATTAGTTTTGGACTTGGAAAATTTAAACCCGTTTTCAAGACACCATTTATTTATTTTATTTAAACACAACTGCAATTGCCGTTCAATAGTATGCATATTTTTACCACGACAAGAAATATTAAAATCATCCACAAAAAGTGATCCATCAATTGAATCGTTTAAAACCTTGGATAAACTGTTGATCTTGATACTAAACAATGTGACAGACAAAATACTGCCTTGCGGGACACCCTGATCCTGATTGTAATGGTCAGACAGGGTTGAACCCACTCGGACTTGAAATTGCCTGTCTTTTAAAAACTGTGATATAAAAAGAGGCAAACGGCCTCTTAAACCAAAATCATGTAAATCCCTCAAAATGCCATGCTTCCAGGTTGTATCATAAGCTTTCTCAAGATCAAAGAAAATTGATACAGCATGTTGTTTATTTACTATAGCATTTTTGACAAAGGATTCTAAACGTACCAAATGATCAATGGTACTACGATTTTTCCTGAAACCACATTGGATATTTGATATCAGGTTATTGGTTTCAAGATACCAAGTTAATCTATTATTCACCATTCTTTCCATGGTTTTACAGACACAACTCGTTAAAGAGATTGGTCTATAATTAGACGGATCAGTATGATCCTTGCCTGGCTTTGGAATAGGGACTACAATGGCATCACGCCAGGAAGTTGGGAAATTCCCTGAAGTCCATATTGTGTCAAAAATATTTAAAAGTGTTTCCAAACATGATTTCGGTAAATGCTTCAAGAGCTGATAGTGTATATTATCAGCTCCTGTTGCTATGTATCATGAGCTTGCGCAAGGGCAGTGTGTAGCTCATGTAATGAAAATAATTCATTATAGTCTTCGCCATTGTCTGAGTTAAAATTTATTCTTTTCTTCTCCTGTTGTTTCTGATAGTGTTGAAATTCAGGGACGTAATTCGACGAAGAAGAGTGTTTGGCGAGAGTGTCACCAAGCTTATTGGCAATGTCAGACTTACCAGTTAATATATTGTCACCATCCTTGAGATGATGAACAGTAGATTTGGAACCTTTACCCTTAATTCTTTGGATCATGTTCCACACCTTTGATATTGGTGTGCGTGAATTAATTTTAGATACATAATGTCTCCAGGACTGACGTTTACTCTGTTTAAATGTACGTCTTGCCTTTGCGTTGTTTATTTTACAGTATTAAAATTATGAACTGTAGGGTGTCGCCGGAAATACTTTTCAGCCTTTTTCCTACATTTTCTAGCTCGTTTGCAATCATCTGTAAACCATGGTTTACGTATGTGTGGGTTCATAGAGGACTTAGGAATAGTGTCATCAGCTATACTTTTCAATTTCTCTGAGAATAACTGAATTGGGTCTGAAATATTTCTGAAAGTTTCAGGCTGCAGTGTTCTGGAACAAAGAGTTTGAAATAAAGGCCAGTTTGCTTTGGCAAAATTCCATCTGGTCACAGGTGGTTCATCAGTAGGGTTTATAGCTTTAAGTAGTGTAGGGAAATGATCACTTCCACATCGGTCATCATGGACAGACCAGTCAAATTCATTTAGTAAACTGGCATCTGTCAGAGTCAAATCCAATGCTGAATAAGTTCCCGTGGCAGGATGTAAGTACGTGTTGGAGCAATCATTTAAGATACATATGTTATTGTCAGAAATAAAATCTTCAATTACTTTGCCTTTAGCATTAGTACTAACGCTTCCCCATAGAGGGTTATGTCCGTTTAAATCACCCATGATAACACAGGGTTTGGGAAGCTGAGCATATAAAGCTTGTAGATCAGCCTGCTGTAACGCCGAAGAAGGTGGAATGTACAAAGAACAAAGTGTTAAGGCAATGTGAAATGTAAGTCGAACTGCAACAGCTTGAAGATTAGTAGTTAATGGAACAACACTATGAATAACATCCTGTCTTACCAAGATAGAAGAACCTCCAGTGGCTTTTGCACCTGGAGGTGAAAAGTGATTATACAAATTATATTTTCTGATATCACATTTATCTGTGTCTCGAAGATACGTTTCTTGTAGACACATTACTGATGGTGTAAAATCCTGTATTAAAATCTGTAAATCATTAAAGTTATTCCTAAGTCCTCTACAATTCCATTGGATTATGCTGGATGACTGCGTCATGGTGGCTCTATTGGCGATCGTTCACGGTGTGAGGGGGCGGATGTTTACCGCTCTGAGACAAAGGGGTTGTGTCCATATCAAGAGCTTCAAAGAGTTATGGACAACTATATCTGAAGATGAAGTTTTCCTGTTTGTCTGTTTTCTATTGAATTTCTTTCTTTCATTTTGGTCAAAGGTTGAGAAGCTGGTGGTGCTGTGACTGGTACATTGGGAACATCAAGTACATTGACATCAATCTGAGCTTGATTTACAGTTTGGGTTGAAGATGTGTGAGACTCACTGACTGAAGTTATGTTAGAGGGTTGATCTGATTTGAGCCATGTCAAATCAGTCTGAACAGAAACTGAAGTGCATTTAGTAGTAGAAGTAGCAGCAACTGCAGAAAAAGTTCTATTGAGTGGAATTGGTGACTGGTTTTCAACAAATGTTTTTGCTTCATAAAACGAGATGTTTTTTTCATGTTTGACCTTAAGTATTTTAGACTGGTTTTGCCACACAGGACATAACCGTGATGAAGCAAGATCACTGGAAAAAAAATCCATCTTTCCAAGCTTGGAAATGTCTTGGAAAGATGATGTTTCCAAGACATTTCCAATTTTGGAAAGATGATGTTTCCA